GGCACTGCAGAAAGGAGACATTTACAGTATCTGATGAAAGTGCTGGCAGGACCAAGGCTGAAGAGTTAAGTGAGCTAAAGAGGTATTTATGGGAAGGGAAGTAAGCAGATTGAAAGAACGAAGAAGGAAACAAGAGCCATGAACTTCTATGATTACCACAAGCAGAGACCAGCTGCCTCCCACATCCCAGACAAATACAGTCTGACTTGCAATTAATTTCATTCTATAAAACCCACCATCTGTAGGGAAGAAAAAGCAGAAGGTAGAAGTGGAGGTAACGTGACCTCTTCCCTATGCCAGTCCCAAAAGTTAATACTGAAAAAGCAGCAGTACCTGTAGACCACGTAGGAGGCAATTGTCTGTATTTCGTGACATCTGCTCTAGTTTCACTTGAATAGATAATGCCAGATAAGTAAAACAGAAGAGACTGGGAAATGACTACATTAGTGACAAAAAATTGTTCTTAAAGGCTTGTGGGAGGCACCTAGTGGTAGTGATGCACTTTAAGAGGAAAGTTAATTGTCAAATAGATGAGATAACCAGAACTTGTGAGTTTTAAATGTGTTTGTTTTTAAGTGCCTAAATGAACTAAAATGAACTAAAAATCCTACTCAGACTGAAAATGCCAAAAGCATTAAGAAATGTTTGCAGCTAAGGGTGAGATTATAAATTCAGATTTCAAATTGCTAAAAAAAAAGATGCTGTCCATGTATGCAGTTAAAACAAGGGGCCATAGCTCTGGTCCATCCCTCGTGCTCTGCAGAGAAAACAGTTACAGCTGCCGTGGTCCTGGTGCTTGTGTCTGGTTCAGTCAGAAGCAGAGAGGTCCTGGTTATACAGGTGATGTGTTGTTATGCTTTAGTATCACTGTTATCATGTATGGCAGGAATATCTTGAAGGAGTGTGAGGATTTTGGCCATGACAGTAAGTGACCACTTCTACTGTGGTTTTTGGGAATTTCTTATTTAGCAGGAGAGTAAATATTGCTCCTCTTGGCACTCCCCATCACCCCTGTCCCTCCCAGGCAGGTATCTCTGTCCCTCTGAACATGGGGGTTAATGTGCACTCTGACCCATCAGCAGAGCCTGTGTGTGCTGCTCCTTTTTGCACAGATGTTTCTTGACTGAAATCAGATGTTTTTGGCCAGAATCCTGCCATGCTGGCAACTGGAGGGAGCTGGAAGATGTCTGTATGCAGTGTGTGCTTTCTACATCACTTCCATGGACAAAGTGAGTTGCTGTCTATGACCCTTGGCCCAAGCAAAGCATAAGGCTTTGGGCTGCTTGTATGGCAGTTTCTGGGGCTGATTTTTGTTTGTTTGTTTGTTTGTTTTGTTGGTTTTTTTGGTCTTGTTTTTGGGGGGTGGGGGAGTCCCCTCCTTAAATTGCATTTATAAGTTCTTACTTTCTCGTTGGGAAAGTGCAACGTTTCATCACAAATTGTAGTGCACAGAAAGAAAGTGGAGCTTAGCTGTTTTGAGCTTCCTGATGTGCCTTTCTTGTGGTGCCATTACTGAGGCTGTTATCTGAAAAAATAGCTCTATTAAATGAAAAGCTTTGATATGGAGGAAGAAGATTATCTGATATTTCTTTTCTTGTTAAATTATTGTGCTGATGCACAGCCAGAAGGGACTGCATTTTTCTCCCAGAAAGAACAGTTAGATGCTCATAGCACCAAACATTTCCTTAATGGGAAGATGTTATTAAAAGTTGCTCTACAGAGTGTTTGTCATTATGAGTTGTGGTTAATGTAAGAGTTACAGGGGAGAGACAGGCTGGTATTTCAGGGAGTTTGCAGACACACCTGAGCTCTGCAGAAGGATTTGGGTGGTTGAAGGAAGAGAACAGCAGAGTGGGAGGTGGGAGGGTGAGGAATGATGCCAGGGCTGGGGAGCCCACTCGAGGTGGGGAGCACCTGAGTGCCAAGCTGCTGTGTCTGCAGGAAACAGGACTGAAGGGGGTTTCTTTGCCTCAGGCTTTCTCACAGTTGCTTTTGGTGGTCCCTCTTGATGTGCCAGCTCCCCAGTGAGGGTTGGTGGTGCCTCCTCCTTTCATGGGTCTACTCTGTTAACAGACTGGACAATAAGTTTGATTTCAGAAGTTTGATTTCAGTTGTCACAGATTCAAAGAGGAATTATTCATAGGAGTGACTGTTTTGAAGTCATGGCACAAAACATTTCCTGTCCACTGAAATCCTCCTAAGTGGCTCCCCTGATCCAAATAATCTCAGCTCTTGAGATGGTAGAGCTCAGCAGGAGTTATTTTATTTTGCCCATGCATGTGTCCTGTACTGTGTGTCTGAGGCAGACTGTTCAGCAAGTGTAAAATAATAACTGATTTTGACAGAAATGCCTTCTACACTGGAGGATCTTCAGGCAACCAAAAAGCGGCTTTCACACATTTTTTTCCAGCTGCATTGTAGAATAGAGTGTGAAAATCCAGATTTGTGACATTCTGGGTGATTTCTGCTCCCCTACTGAACCAAAAAAAAAAAAAAAGAAAAGCCCACGCTGCTGCACTGGGGTGGTTTTTGGCTGTGACAAATGCACTGACATGACTTTTTCTGTGATTGTTCATTTTCCTTAATGGGTTTGAGGGGAGAGGAAGTTTCTTGGCAGTATTATGGAGAGAAGCAGCAACTTCACTGTGTAGAGAGGAGATATAAGTCATGTAATACATCTGCAGCTGAGCTGTAGAACAAAATGCTGTGCTGTCCCCTGCAAGATGTAAGTGATGCAAATTCCACCTCCCAGGAGGCAGTCTCTGGTTTTAGCTGGGAGAAGGTCACTCCTGCAGGCATTATAAGCTGTGAAAGGAAAAAGGGCAATAAAGGAAATATAATTTGTGCCATAAGTGAATAAAAACGTAGATGAATAAAAACACAGCTGTGGACGAGAAGTGCATGTTCAATAAGGAAAAGGTGGAGCATTTACTGCAGACTTTGCTGCAAAGACCCACTGAAGTTGTTGGGTGTATCTGTTGTTCAGTTTGTGTGTGTGTAGCAGCACCATATTCAAAAGAAGAATATTCCCAGGTCTGGCTGTCAGTATTTCCAGAGCACCAATCAGCTCCTTCAGGATGTGAGATCTTCAGGCATGGCTCTCTCACACCAGCAGGGTTCAGTCAATTATTAGCTGCTGTTGTTATCAAGATTTTACTGATACTGTTTTCTCCTCCACACAGTGTGCATGTTCTGCATAGTGATACTCTCTGTGTGCTGTTTGTCCTACACTGAAGTTTTGACATCTTTAATTAAGTTTTCTTTCTCAGGCTCTGATAGTTCCTAACACCTGATGAGCAGTCAAGGCTCCAGCAGGTTGCTTAAAGAGTTCTCAACATTAAAGTAATCTCTTTTGGCAGGTGATAATCAGCCCCTAGTTTTGATATCCCCTTAGTTTGAAAGCATGAGAAATTATTTATAACCTCACCAACTAATGGAGAGTCTGGTTTTCAGAACTAATTCTGGGATACCTTTTGCATGCTTTGTGCTTTGTGCTGCTCTTAGCAGGCAGTATTTAGCAGCCTTTCAGGAATACAGAAACACAGGACTGAAAAATATTCTTCCAGGATATTAAGAGCATGAACTAAAACTTTAGGCTTCTGCAGTGGCAGGGTTGCTAATCGTGCTGCAACTATTTATTTTTTTTTCTTGAACTTTTTAATGCTTTATTCTCTGCTTGTAAGTAGATGTAAGCAAATGTTTAGCTTGGAGAATGCTTAAAGGAACACATGCAATGCCCAGTCAAGCCTGCTTTTGTACAAGAACCACAGAAAATAACAGAGGGAGAGAAAATTTCAGTTGCCTCTGGTATAGGTAAATTAGACAGCCTAAAACTGCTCTGTTGGGAACCACCTTGAGCAAATTAGCCATTGGTCAAGGAAGGTGTTTGGTAAAGGTGCACTGAACAGCGCTTAGAAGTCCCTTATGACTCCATTTTTCTGTCATGTGTCAGCACCTGGTGAAGATGCTGATGTCAGTGGTGCTGTAATCACCCTTGACAAGGTGAAATATGGCCTCCAAATTCCAAGAACATATGGGATTATTGAAAAGGAAAATTGTGTGAACAAGGGCAATTATAGCAATAACTATCCGTGACATATTACATGGAGCCATCCAAGCATAACATAGATATAATGAAAGTATTTTTAAAGGCAAACATGATGTAAACCAGTGCCAAAATTATCTAATTTATTATTCTGTCATGGATGATAAATGTTAATAACCTCTGTGTTTCACAGCATAGCAAGAAAGCTTTCTTTTTATGTGTGCCTTGCTATATGATTGGAAGGGATACAAAGGGAAGGTTTATTTGTAACAGGTATGGAAAGAGGATGAAAAACCTTCCTCCTCTAAATTCCAGTCTTTAGTTTTTCGGGATACAATTGCTCTAGCTATTTTTCATCACACACCCCACCACATCCACACACCTATGCAACACAGAGCAGGCAGCTGGCAGCCCATTAATCATCACAGAACCAGCTTCAGCCTTGCAAACATGAGCTGCAGGATTGTATCCCTGCAGAGGAGCTGCTTGTTCATTGAGATGTAACACCTCTGGATTTACACTGTCATTTTCAGGTAAAAGTTTAGTAGAGGTAAAGTTTTAATACAAGATGCATCAGATAAAGAAATCCCCACTTTTATAATTTATTTCATTGTCACCCTTTGCTCTGCTAGAGAGTGAAACCAGTTCTAGAGCCAAAGCTTCAGTCCCTGGGCCACTCAGGAGAGGCCTGAGCCTGTGCTGGGTTTCTGCACTGGCTGCAGGAAATTCCAGAAGCTCTTTCTGCTGGTAAAGCTCTGCACATTTACTCTGTGGGTATAAACTTTTAACATCAAAAATATTGCCTGCACCTTGCCAAGGCACCCCTGACCCAGACAGCAGGACTTCCATGTCAGTCAAACCCTGCTTGTCTAATAAAATGTTGTTTATAAACCATGCCAGAAGAATAATCTTAACAAATGCAAAGTTCTTTTAGGAAATTAAGATTTCTTATTTATTTGAGGGGAAAGAACAACAAAACTAAATTATTTTACTACTTACTGGCAAAGTCAGTCTTGCTACATTACCTATTTTTAAAACTCACGTCCCGTTCAATTAAGATTTGATACTGTTGACAAAATGATGCTGTCCTGAAAAAAATATTGCAAGAGCTGCTATATACAAGCCCATAAATAAACTGCAAGATTTTCAAGCTTCAAAAGACCGAGGACAGGAAGAGATTGTTTAGAGATTCATTTGAACACTTCTTATTCAGTACATTTGCTGCATTCAGTACCAACAAAAACACATTGAATCAAACAAAAGGAATGGACTTAGATGGCAATGGAAGGTGTTTGTACTTTGTGGGGTTTTTTTTTTACTAGTTTATCAAAACCAGAAGAAACCCCATCCCCAGTGCAGTGTTATGGATACAGTGCTCCTGCTCCAAAAACCTCGTGTGACACAAACAAGATAAACTCCTTCTTCACAAGCCATGTTCAACACATTAAAGCACAGGATGCAGATTATCCACCGAGGATCTCAGGAGATACAGGATAGCAAATGCTCCCTCAACACACAATAAATCTCTGTCACATTCAAAAGGATAAGGCCAAATGCATTTTCATGTATTCATCTTGGTTTTCGGAGAACAATTTTAAATTTTTTTTTTTTTCAAATGGACCTTGGGCAGTGACAGAGGTGACCAGTGAACGTCAGCACAGGAGGAAATGCAGGCAATGAAAATTGTCTAGAGGGGAACACTCTGAAAATTAAGATTTTAAAACCAAGCTTTGGTATGTTGTCTGGTTCACTCACAGAACTGTTTGTGCTATAATACAAGGATTAGAAGAGAAATGATCAAGGAGGGTTTCAATCTATATCTGTGGTCACAGTGTAAAAAAAGAAAAAACAAAACCAAAAACAAACCAAAAAAATAGACCCACAACAAAAAAACTCATAAGCTCCAGTATAAAAAATATGCTTAAATATGTTGTCTGCACACAATACAAACTCTGAACTCTGCTGTCACAGTACTGTTCTGTCACAATCTCCTCCATACATTCCAAGGGCTCCGTCTACTACGTCTTTTGGGGCAAAAAAAAATATTTTCAGGCCAAGAAAAGCCCATATATTTGCACAGCTGTAAGGCAGAGCAATGCAGGAAAGGTAGGAAAAAGCCATACACAAAAGCCAAAATAAAGACACAGCCATTTTACATATTTAGCTTTTACTGACCCTGCATTTAGAGTTAGTTGTCAACAATTGGAGTTATTTAGCGTTAGGAAACACAAGATTAAAGCCTATATATTTCATGCATGTATATGTGTGATATGCAGTATGCCACGTTCTGCTCTGTTCCAGCTGCAGAAATCCAGCACTGATCTGGTGCAAATAAGATAATTTCTTTAGAATGTTTTAATTTGTAGTCCCAGACTAACTTGGGTGGGGTCTGGGCTTTCAGTTTGGGGACCACACCAACAAGTCTTAGCCAGGAAGGGGAATGGGGAGAAAAGTTTTGTCCAAACTAAAACAGATCATTTTTGTTAATGTGGGAAGGAAACATGAACAAAAATTAATTTGGGATCAAACAGAAATGAAATGCATTAAGTTTTTCTAAACTTTCAAAATCCACGTCTTTTGGATTAAACACTTTCCTACATTCAGTCCCAAATGATGGATGTTTCCTGTTCCCTAAAGATCAATTTACTTTTATTTTCTTTTTGAGAAGTTTGCTATCCAATACAAAATTTCCACTCTGCACATTAGAATTCCTGTTCTCTTAGAAATCAACAGCAGATATCTTGCTGGATTCACTGGGAGCAGAAACGGTCTGAGCTGCTGAAGATACAAACATTTAATTAAGGTAAAAACAAACAAACAAAAAAAATCAGCACAAAACTTCTTAGCAAAACATGAGGCTGAAGATTTGCATATTTCCTGCTTGTTTTAGTACTTTGAGAGCTCAGTGTATTAGGAAAGCTAATTACCTTGGTGATTCCTGCAAACCAGTGTACCCAGGCTGTGATGGGGAGTGCTACTGCACACAAGGAGGAGCTGGGGATAAGGAGACGAGGGGAGGGGATCTCGTCTTTGGAAATTGCTCTGGAGACCCTGGCTGCCAAGTCCTAGAGCAAGGCACATCCTTAGGGGCTCTGACCACCCCCAGGACTTAAACTCTGCTTTTCTCCAGCCGGGAAGGTGCACGATTGGCACAGGGAGGTTGAACTCCCTCGTGCTCCAAACACCACTCTGAGAACCTATAAAACACTGCTCAAAACAAACAGTGCAGTGTGGCTTTTTTTCTCCTTAGAGGTACTTCATAGCAGTACTAAAACAGCAGCTATTAAATGCTGAGCAGAGTTTAAAACCACAGAAGAGGCTGCAGAGACCTATTTAAAAGCTGTCTGTAGGTAACAATACATAGACTTATTTGTAGGCTGGCTGTCTTCACAGTGTATCATTGTGTTTCATCTTTGTGGCAGGAATTCAGTGTCTTGAAATGAACCAGTAAAAGGAGAAAGATAAGTCACAGTGCCAGGTTTTGATTTCCAAAAGCTACAGTGAGTGTAAGAAATGCACTTGATGGACAGTTGTTGATTGCATCCCAAGGCTCCAGGTAAAGCAGTGGAATAATTTGTACTGAGATATGTCAGCAGACACAAATCAGCAACACAGAGGCTCTGGGCTGCTGGGGGACAACCTTAGCCATTTCTGCCTCTGATAGATAAGGTGTCAACAGGAAGATCTAAAATACTAATAGACCACATACAGGAGTTTTACGTGTTATGTGTGCGCTTTATGTGCATAGAGACGTGTGGATTAGCTTTGCTAATCCCTGCCCACACTGGGAGTGGAGTAGCTGGAACCTGCTTCTCCCTCAAGTCCTGGCTTCCTTGCAGATTTAAATTAATCACCATATTATTTGGAATACACTTCACTTCAATAACTGGATTCTGTAAGGTAATAAATGTTATTTAAAGAGAGAGCACAGCGAGTCCAGAATAGCCCCATTACAACACCACAACGGGAAGCATTTCATTTCAGAGCATAAAAATCCATCTTTCCAGAGGTGTGTTGCCTTTCCTCAGTCCTGGGAGCTGGAATGATTCCGAGAGCAATAAGCCCTTTTTTTGCATACCTCGTGTTTTCATCATCGCTGACAAAACCATCCAGTGTATATTTGTGCTAGTTATTTTTATAGATATTGCCAAGAGCCAAGTGGTAGAATGTGTTACAGTTCTGAAGGCAAGCAGATGAGGGCTATTTACTCGACAAAACAGTATGGCAATTCCCAATTTATTAGGCAGTGACTATAAAAAAAAAAAAAAAGGCAGTTTTCTACTGTCACAAACAGTGAGAAAAAGCTGGTGGACACGGTGTCAGAGGTCCTGAATGTATGGCTTGGTTTTCTCCGAGGAGCTGGTGTTACTGTCACACTGCTGACAAATCAATGCGGTTGGCTGAGTTGGTGCTTTTATCCCAGGTGTTCAGCTTTGTGGGGCTTGTGCCTGGCCTGTTCCCAGTCATCTGGAAAACAAAATAGTATAGAAAATAGATTTATTTATTTTGCCAGACCACTCTTGCCCGGATGAAATAAAAGCTTTGATGGCATCTCTTTACATTACAGTGTTTTCACAGGGCCTTGGGAGCATATGCCATAAAGGATTTTTAAGCAGTTATTGCCACGATCTAAGGTGATTGGCAATGATAACTTAATAAAACCTATCACTTCAGGTGTCTGGTTCTTCATAAGAACAAATGTCTTTTGCCTCAAGATAATTTAAGGAGAAGGATAAAAGCACATTTACTTGTTGCCTTAAGAGTTCATCCCTCAGGTTTAAATGCAAGGGTGCCCTATCAAAAAGCCATCATCATCATCAGAGCAATACAGCCAAAATGCTACTGCAATGCAAAAGTCCATTACAATTGGTGGGAATGATCTTACTGAACTCCAGAGTTCATAAATTATACTCCAGGGTTCATAAACCTCTGTTTACTTTTATTTGATAGTTTACCAGAAAGCAGAATTTTGTCCTTTGCTTTCAAAACAGGTATTGTAGCTGCAGCTTAATGCTTGCTGATTCCACCTGTCTACACCATGCATTAGGATAGGACAAAAAAAAATACACATTTGCCTTCTCATGTCCTCTTCTTTCCAACGGAATTTAATGTGGGAACACTTTCGAATAAAATAGGGGGGGAAGAAAGGAGGAATACTCACAATGTCTGAATTGAAGGGTTTCACGTTGATGTTGCGAGTGGAACTACTGGTGAGGGACCAGACCTTGGTTTTGTGCTTAAAGGCAGCTCTGACCTGTGGGGAGGAGAAGTGAAACCAGGTAGAAGGTCCCCTTTGGAAAAGTTAAGTTCATTTTCACAGGCTCAGCCTGCAATCATTTCCCCATGATCCTTCCTCCACGTTAACGTCACTGTGCTAATAAACAACAAACAGTCCAACTCCTACACTTTTCTTTATATTTATGGCCTTATTTTAAAATTTAACTTTACTTTTCCAACATGACTGTTACCATTCATCTCACTGAAAAAAAAAAAAAGAAAAATAATAAAAGCCAAAAAAACCCAAACTGTAGTGCACATAAATGTACATTCCCAGCACTGGCAATCCTGGTTTGAATGATCTCATGACGTGCCTGTTCTCCTGTGCTTCTTTATAATATGTTTGCATTTCTGCTTGGGTGCACTGGGAATAAAGCCCTTTTTTTACCCACCCACTTCTACACCCAGTCTACAGATTTCTCTGGACAATATCTGAGTTTTACATCTACGGTAAGAAAGAAATTCTCGAGAAGAGTTCTTGCTGCTTAGCTGAAGAGGTATTTTAGACATTCACAGACTATGATGGAGCCAGTAAGGCCTCCTCTCCCAAAAATGACAGCTCACATCAGCTGTGTGTAAACTGGTTTTTGAGGATACAAATTCTGAAAAGTTTCTGAACTGAATTCCTCATGAGCATCCTGGGAAAATGACAGCAATTCAAATATTTGTATTTGATATAAAATATCTGAAGCTTCAAGTTTTTCTAAGCCTGGGGGAGAACGGAATGAAGAAATATTTTTCCTCCCTACCTTTAAGCTGCCTGTTTTCATAAGAAATATTTGTTATCAGTAGCACATGACGCTGAGCAGCATTTTCTGCTCCCTGCCACAGGGGGAGAGGATTCTGCAAGCCCCATTTACATCAGCCTTGCCCTGGCTTTATCCCAGTTGCTCTAACACAGCCTCAATGCAAAAAGATGCCTCAGCCCACTAGGAAAACCTGAACTTCCTGCCAAGAAAAATACCTGGAATATCTTCTACTGTGTTTGCTTTCCCATTAAGGGCTGCATGAGCAACGTCCAAAAGTATGTTTTGCCGAGAATAATTATTTTCCTCTCTGGAACTGCAGACATAACAGCGCCCAAACAGGGACTTGGGCTTGAAGTGTCTCCTCTCATCCTCTTCCTTTGTTTCAAACCTTTCTTAAACGCTCATTAAAACAAATGTCAAGGATGGGCCAAAATGCTGGGAGTTGCAAAGCCACTAACAGTCATGTATTAATTAAGAGGCAATCAGTGACAGAGCGGGCAACAATAACGAGGAGTCTGTTCTTGTTCTACACTTACTTTCTTTCAAGTTGTTAACACCAGATTTGTTAACACCATTTGGTTACATACCTCCGAGTTCAGAAGGCAGTGAAACAGGAACATGAAAAATCCCTGGAAACAGATAAAAGGGAGAAGGGTGAGGTCTGGCTGTGAAGCATCAAATCCAGTCGTGTGTGTCTTGCAGTATCATACAGAGCAGCTGTTGGGTAGCTGGAGGTCTATAAATATCACAGAGTGCACCAAACTGTGCCCTGAGTGAAACTGGAGAGACCTGCAGGGTTAGGTAACCATGAGGCTTGTCTGGAACTCCTCCTGTAAGAAAGCAGCTCCTAAACTTTCAGTACTAAAGGAAAAAAATCCGGCTGAAAATAGGCAGGAATTCTGTTTTCATGACAGCAAGAGAACTTTCTGTTTGTGCTTGCGAAGATCGAGGCAGAGGGAAATGCTCTTTGGGAAACACCAGACGGGTGTTTTCCACATTGGAAAAGCACTAGGAAAAAATTCACAGCAGAATTTTACTATCTGTGGGCTTTTTGTCCGGTGCAAAGTGAAAAAGTCTCATCCTCTTTTCCTCCCCAAATAATTTTATATTCTTTTGGGGAGTATTCAGCCAAACTTACTTCTTTTTGTTATTTTGCATGAAAATCGGAATTTCTCTTATCAGCTTATGGGCTGAACCCTGTTTCACTTTTTTTGTATCCACAGCTTGTTCCCGAGACAAAAAAAGGATTTACAGGAGTTTATTTTTTATTCCTCTTTGTAATTATTATTTGGGAAAAAACTGTAGCTCACCTACAGGTTTAGGCCTCTACTGAAGTGTCTGCTTAAAGCTATGCAGATGTTTACATTCCTTCCTGGACAGAGCTATTTTTCTGGACTGATGTACCAGGAAGATGAGGGTCTAGTTGCCAGCATGCAGGAGCCATGTGCAGCACATGGAATAGCTCCACTTCTGATCTTTCCCACAAACTTGTGTTCACTTTCACTCAGCCACAGTAATGAGGCCTTAAATTGACACTGAAAAATTGGCCTGGTATCTCCACTGAAGAATCCTGCCTGTGGTACGTGGCACAGGAAGAATGAATTTCATTTCTCAAGCTCACTGTCTCATTTATTTAATTATTGCTACTGGAAACACTAAGGAGTGGGACACAAGTTCTGTTCAGACACAAGCTGTTGCCAGCACTGTATGGTCAACACAGGCTTAAAAGACAGAGCAAGGAACACAGAAAAAAAAAATGCAGTAAACACAAGCATTTGAAAATGTTGCTAATGATCCATTTAATTGGATCTGGGCACCAGTTCTGTAGCCAAAAACTTTCCTGCCAGGTACTTACTTGTAGTGAATTGAACACAGCGAATATATACTGAAATACTAATGCGTGGGCATTGACAGCCAAAATCCCAAAGATCCATGAGCTTCCCAAGATTGGTAAGAGAACAGCGACGGCTTTAGCTGTTAGTCTGAAAGAGAGAATGAGAACAGCAAATGTGGTGAGACAGTTAAACAGATTTCAGCCTCCAAAAACAGGGCAATGTGTGTAGCTCTGCCATGAAATTCTTTGAATGGGCAAGACTTTTAATTATTTTTCATCTGTGGAAGTGGGGATAACAGAGTCTTGGTATCTCATGGGGTGAATGTAGATGGAGGGTCAATAACTGAGGGTGCAGAAGAGATGGAGACATGGTCATTGCAGTCATATCTTCAGTTTACAGTGAAGTATCATTTTGTCAGCGAGGAGTCAATTGTAAGAGTCAAAAACAGAGGGCAGAAACTGGAAAAACTAAACCCACTGTGTAGTACCTCCAAAATATGTATGCTCAGTATACAGTTGAGTCAAGACAACACAGCATTTCCCTTACAGAAAGTGGCTTGGGGTTTTTAATCACCCCAAACAGGAATAAACACATAACTCTGCCAAATGCAAATCCTCTAACACCTCAGCATTATTCTGCTACCACCCTGCCTTGTTCAGAGTTGATTCAGAGAAAAGCACATCAAATATTTAAATAGCTTGTGTTTCTTGGAGATCCCTACTGATATATGTTCACTCTGCTTAGTCTGGAGGACTTGGCAGAATGTCAATGAAAGGTAGTATGACAGCTGAAAAGTTAATAGCACTGAGAATACAAGAGGGATTTTTGGTTTTGCCTTAATGAGTTGTGTACAGGGTGTTTATTAAGTACAGGGTGTTTATTATGTACAGGGTGTCTGTTAGAGTGGAAGATTAATTGAATTGTAGAGTATCAGAGAATTAAACAATCACAGAAAGTCCTCTGCAGCAGCTGAATTCTGTGGACCAGATTTTATGTAAAGAGTAAACAAAGGGAACCACAGAGAAAACAAAGGCGTTGGGTTTAGAGTTGTGAGAGCACAGTGAGGTCTCCCGAGTGTGTTCATTGCTGCCTCCACTAAACACCAAAGAACCACTTTCCATGAGGAACTCACTTCCTTCACCTGCAAGAGGAATTAGGGGCAACCAAACTTCCCAGAGAGATCAGGACCCTGGAGCAGAGGTGTGGGCAACACCTGCATCCATTTTCTGCCCTGGCACAAACACTGCCAATATCTCTCTGCCACCAAACACCACTCAGCCACTTCTGAGCTGCTGCCACCTGTGTGCAGAAAGAACTGTAAAATCCTGCAGAGTCCTTGTGCCTTCAGGAAAATGCAGCTGTGCAGGACTTGGGGTAGACTGGGGGGAGGATACATTCAGATTCCATGATGGTTTGGATGTCCTCCCTATCCTAATCCAGCAGGGATTAGGATGCCCACTTACACTTGTAAAACTGTCTTCATTGCAAACCACCCTTTTTCCTTTTTCTCTCTTTCATTCTCACACTCTCCGTTTTTATAAATTTTTCAGTTTGGAATATAATTTTTCCCCAGCTGGTTTGTTGCCAAAAGTGTTTTCAAATATTTCTTTTCGAGTCAGAGCATAAAAGGCTTCACCTGTAATTTGTAGTTGGGGGCAGAATAGAGTCAGGCCCTCAATTTCAGTATTTTCAAAACCATTCTTACAGAGTGGATTTTCAGAGGCCTTTAACATCACAAATGTCTCCTACACTTTCAAAAATCATGTATTAATAAAGGCTGCTCACTGTTAAGCCCAGAGTTCAGCACATGTGCAGCAGAAATTCATAGCTAAAAATGAAAATGGAATACAGACATGGGATTTTCCAGGCAAAAGTATTAATGTTTCATGCACACTCATTTAGAGGAGCAGCCATGTGAGGGTGAAATTCATTTAAGACTGTCTAAGGGTCAGCTCTGCATATGATTCACTTAAATCTCATTAGGTTTTTTTCCTAATTATTGCATAACTTTCTATGCTTACATGCTCTGAATTTCATGCTACGTATGACTTTATTCATTCAAGGCATTTATGAGCTTTACTCACCAGTCAAACAACTCAGCTTTACTGTTTCTGGTGCTCTTTTATTTTCTTCCCCTTACCCCTCCCCTTCCCACTTTGAACTTTAAAAAAGAAAAATACTAACTGTAAAATGCTGTGTCAGAACACCATTAAGGCAGCAAGGTTAAAAAATCTTAGACATACTAAAGTTAATGTTCCACTAGGTACATTAATTCTGACACTCTGCACATACTTTATTTTTTTTTCTTATTCCCATTTATCTTTGCTACATGAATATTTTAGGAGATTAGTTCTAGTACACTGAGACATAGAGCACAATCAAATAGATGTTGTTTTTGGAGAAGGAATGCTTCTCCATGCATGACTTAAGCTGTGCAACCTAAAAAGAAAAGTCACCAGCATCACTTGAGCTTTAGATTGTCTATAAAATGGGTGACATGAAGAAGCAATAATCTGGGGCAGGGGCAGGTCTTACTTTGCAGATACTGAGGTTCAGCCCCACTGGGACTTCTCAAAACTTTGCTAAAGTCTTTCTTTGTCCTTGTGCCCAAATGTGTGAGAAAACAGAATGGCCATTGCTTTATAAAGGACCCCCTAAATTTCTCCTGTGTGCTCCTTCTCATGCTCTGACCTTCAAAATTAGAAGGAACCCAACAGGCTGTTTCTCACATACAGCTCCTTGTAAATCCATACATAATCCCATTCACCTGAGCACTCCCAGTGGAATCTCACTTTCAGAAGGCCAGGGTGGATGGAGCCTTTTAAATACCCTTAGATACACTATCCCATCATTTCTAAGCTGTCCACTCACCCTTTTAATTTCCAGTTGAAAAAAACCCTGTTTTTCTTTCCTTTTCCTCTTCTTACAGTTTAATTCCAATTCCTGAGAAGCAAACCCTGCTCATCAGAGATCTCTCCCTCCACATTTCTTCAACTGCCTTTTTTTTTCAGTTGCTTTTGTTTTAGCATCCCCTTCAGTGCAGGATTTTGATGTTCTCTGTATATCTTGCTCAGCCACAGACAGGGCTGTTAGCCAGCACTTTACTCCAGCTGAAATCCTGGGGTGTGCACTAATCAATCAGCAGAGGAAGGGAAGTTTTCCGAGCTGGGTAATTATCACGGCTGTGCTGAAGCCCCCGGTGTGCAAGAAGCGCAGGTTTGAACACCTCTGAGACGCATTTTCATTACCAACATCCCATAAAACCATTGCACTGTTACTGAAGTTACCAGGGACATTTTTCCAAGAGCGCAGTTGGGCCTTGCAGTTTTATTGTATTTGCAATTGGTGTGGAACAGCTCTGCTCAATTGTGATTGCTCCCTTCCCCTTAGTTAATCTCTGCCCTTTTCTGCTGTTGCCCTGAGCACGCTGTCGATATCTCACACCCAGGCACAACGACTCCACTGACAGCTTACAAGAAAGACATTTCACTGCTCACAGAAAGAAAACTTTATTACTTCTGTGAAGGGGACCCCTAATTCACAAATCAATTTTATTGGTTCTATATGGAGCACTAATCCTTTTAAGACTTCTGACATCCACTTTTCACTCGTGATGCCTGTTGAAGTAAGAACTAAATTCAGGCCCATAAGCCAAGATTATATAATCATTGGAGGAAATGCTGTCTAAAAAAACCTCAGAAATCCTTCATCACAATTCACTGAAATTGATAACTTGACAAATAAGTCTTTTAACTGAAGTTTCTCTCTTGTTTCCTGAACTCCTCACTAGTCACTTCCAGCAATATCCTTTGTGCTTCATAGAAAACAAATAAAAAATCCCCAGATCTGTAAATAACATTTCAGACTAATGCCTGGAAAAATTGAATTTAGCTTCAGTTTCCCATTTGTTGCAAGCAGCACTCACCCACTTCTGAGCTGGCAGTTGGAGAGCTGCTGGGAAGCCACATGCAGGAATTCTGGCTGTGAATGGAAATGTTTTTCATGCAAGTCCAGCACACACGTTGTCTGCTCCACCTGGCCACGCTCGAGCTGATGTCAGAGGAACAGCAGGTCCCTGACCAGGAGAGCACCCTGTGCTGCTGCTCACTTTGCTCCCTGGAGCTCCTTTTGCTACTCCAAGGAACAAAACCAGCACCAAGAGGTTTAGGTGGTGAGTTGTCACCGATGCCAAACAGGGAGATGGAAGGATATTGGTAACAACTCGTATTTTTTAGGGAAATAAATGGCAATAAAAACATAGGGCTGATCCACAGCCACTGGCACCATTAGGAATCTGGAGGAATGAGCTGCCTTGCACTCCTTAAAGAGAAAAATGGAGTCTTGGCAGAGTAATGCACTGAGGGTGGTGTGAGCTGCTCAGCAGAGCAGCCAAAGCACAGGCTCACAGTCAAATCCCTCAGGCCCATTTTGAACTTAGCAACCAATTGACTCCCCACGCTGCACAAAGTGACATCAGAAGAGGTGTGGGGGTGTTTCACTCAAAGAAATTAATCTCTGAACTCTGGTAGACACCTTGATCTAGTGGGTAGAGCTCTCATCTTAGAAAGGACAGGCATGGATTTTACTTCTGCTCCTGACACCAAGCAGTAGCTCAAGAACTCCTGCAAATATACCTGTACCTCCTTCTCCTCCTACACTCTGTCTTGGCTGTATGGACAACAAGGCTGATGGCACAAGGGATGTCTTTTAATTAGTACAGGAATGTCTTTTTATTAGTACATACACATTTCCTTGCCTAGTCTTGGGTGATTTCTAAGCTCAGCCGTAAATTTAAAAAAAAATCATAATGAAAAAAAAGAAGACAAAGCTACTTGTAATTGCAGAGGCCATTTCCCATTTTCCCAAATGTTGTTTGCACTTTCAAAATAGTGTTGTGGAACTGAATAAGAACTATAAATTTACAGTCACTTCAGATCGTTGCTTTCTCATGAGTGCCATTTATAACCTGGGAAGATCTTGATAATCAAAAGTATTGTAGCTACAAAAAAGCAATTTCGGCTGTAACAGCAACTAAATCAGACTGATTTTTATCACAAGAGTGGGAAGGGGGGTGGCATTTTCTGTACACTCTCAACCACGGACTCTCACAACAAGGCAGATGTTGCCAAAGCAGTGTCATCTCTCAC